TTGTTTCTCTTCGATTTCCAGGGTCCGTCAAACGCCGCTGACGAAACATCGAATTATAACGGACGACATGACCGGACCCATCAGGCAAAACCCGTACCGGGTAGCTCCGCGAGAACGTGAAGCCATCGAAAAGCAGGTGCGACAGATGCTTGAAGACGACGTTATTCAGCCGTCGAAAAGCCCTTGGGCTTCGCCGGTTGTATTAGTGAAGAAAAAAGACGGCACCTTACGTTTCTGCGTGGATTACCGCAAGCTGAATCAGGTGACGAAAAAAGACGTCTACCGACTTCCACGTATCAACGATTCACTCGATCGACTACGGCACGCGCGTTATTTCTCGTCGATGGATCTAAGGAGTGGGTATTGGCAGATAGAAGTCGATAAAAGAGACCGGGAGAAAACAGCTTTCGTGACACCTGATGGCCTTTTTGAATTTAAGGTACTTCCATTTGGCTTGTGCTCAGCACCGGCAACGTTTCAGCGGCTAATGGACACCGTACTATCAGGCCTCATGTGGCAGACGTGCTTAGTGTATTTAGATGACGTCATCGTATTTTCTGCCACATTCGACGAACACGTCAGGCGACTGCACTCAGTATTTCAAGCTATCCGTTCCGCTGGACTAACACTTAAGCCGGAAAAATGCCATTTCGGCTTCGAAGAGCTTCTGTTCCTGGGGCATCTTGTCAGCAGTGAAGGTGTGCGGCCTGACCCTGAAAAAATAGCTGCCGTTACGAATTTTCCAGCGCCAACTGACAAAAAGGCCGTCAGACGGTTTTTAGGACTGTGTGCTTACTACCGACGCTTCATTGAGAACTTCTCGCGCATTGCCTCGCCGTTGACTCGCCTTACCAGAGAAGACGTCGCATTCGTATGGAATGAAGAGCAGCAAAAATCATTCGACGAGCTGCGGCAACGCCTTCAGAAGCCACCAGTCCTCGCACACTTTGATGATGACGCACCGACAACAGTGCACATCGACGCTAGCAATGTCAGCTTAGGAGCTGTACTCGTGCAGTGGCAGGATGGCGCCGAACAAGTAATTGCTTACGCGAGCAGAACTCTTTCACGTGCGGAAGAAAATTATTCCACTACGGAAAAAGAGTGCCTTGCGGTGGTGTGGGCGGTTATAAAATTCCGCCCATACCTGTATGGTCGTCCTTTTAATGTTGTCAGCGACCATCACTCCCTCTGCTGGCTGACGAATTTAAGAGACCCTTTAGGACGGTTGGCGCGCTGGAGCCTGAAGCTTCAAGAATTTGACATGACGGTGGTCTACAGATCGGGGAAGCGACATTCAGACGCTGATTGCCTTTCTCGTGCGCCATACGAACCTGCGACGGCAGAAGATGACGATACAGCCTTTGTCGGAGTTGTAAACACGGCAACTGTCGCACAGCTGCAACGAGACGACCCCGAACTAGAACCCATAATACGTTTTTTAGAGGGTCGCACTTCAGCTGTACCTAGACTGTTTGCGAGAGGGCTTTCGTCATTTTGCTTGCGCAACGACGTCCTGTATAAGATGAACTTCACGCCACGCGGAAACGACTACTTACTCGTCGTCCAACATCTCTAAGGAGCGAAGTATTACAGGCATGCCACGATGAACCAACATCCGGCCACCTGGGTTACACGCGTACGTTGTGCAGAGTGAGGCAGAAATACTACTGGCCATGACTGACGGCAACCGTTCAACACTATGTTCGGACGTGCCTTGATTGCCAGCGCAGAAAAGTTCCACCCGTCAAACCAGCAGGCCTCCTCCATCCTATTGACGTGCCTGTTACTTCATTCGCTCAAGTCGGAATGGATCTTTTGGGCCCATTTCCAACCTCATCAGCAGGTCGCAGATGGATTATAGTAGCCACCGACTACCTCACTCGTTACGCCGAAACCAAGGCTTTGGAGAGGGGCACGGCAAGTGAAGCAGCCCGATTTTTCGTAGAGAATGTGGTGCTGAGGCATGGTGCTCCATCAGTGGTAATAACTGACAGGGGAACTGCATTCGCAGCCGAACTATTACAGGCAGTTTTAAGACTTAGTGGCACATCCCACCGGCGAACAACGGCGTATCATCCGCAAGCGAATGGTCTTACGGAACGTCTCAACAACACACTAGCGGATATGCTCTGCATGTACGTCGATTTGGAGCATAAAAACTGGGATGAGATCTTGCCGTATGTCACGTTCGCCTATAACACGGCTTATCAAGAAACAACAAGAACAACGCCATTCCGCCTTCTTCATGGTCGTGAAGTCACCACTATGCTGGATGCTATGCTGCCGCACGATTGCGAAGACGCTGAAACGGATGCTGATTATGTCACTCAGCTGGCCGAAGAAGCCCGACAGCTTGCACGCCTACGGATTAGTCGCCAGCAGGACTACGATTCAAGACGGTACAACCTTCGTCACCGACCAGTCTCCTACGAGCCAGGAGAGAAAGTTTGGATATGGACACCTATTCGGCGCCATGGCCTCTCAGAAAAACTGTTAAGACGGTACTTCGGTCCCTATAAAGTTCTGCGACGTCTCAGTGACATTAATTATGAGGTTGTTCCTGATACTGCGCACTCTTCAAGGCGTCGAAGGTATGCTCCAGAAGTTGTGCACGTGGTACGCATGAAGCCTTATTTCGCCGAATGAACTCATACGTTTCCAACGAGTACAAACCGCTTTGATTATAAAGCATCGGGGCGATGCTTTCTTGAATGGGAGGCTAATGTCACGGCTAAAGGCCGGGCAAGAAGACAAAGGACGACGAAGTTATGAGCGTGGACAGCACCCACGATTCCTCTGAGAAAGAAGAAGTCGAAGTGGCTGCTCTTTTGTTCTGCTAATACAGACCTCGTTTTTCTGGTCGCACCGTCGTCCTGTGCTCTGTTATTTTCACCTAGCGACTATATATATATATATATATATATATATATATATATATATATATATATATATATATATATATATATATATATATATATATATATATATATATATATATATATATATTGGAGGTAAAATTGTACATATTAAGAAAAAAACTTCAGGGTGCTAGTGTGGACGTAAACTGCTTGCTTTTAAAACTTTCTTACGGCCGATGCTGGAATATGCCAGTATTGTCTGGAGTCCCTACCAAAAAGTGCTTGTAAATAATCTTGAACGCATACAACGGCTTGCAGCTCGCTTTATATGCTCGATATATAAGCAGAACAACTCACTCACACAAATGCTACAACTATGTGATCTGGAGACGCTCCACAAGCGCAGACGCAAAACTAGATTGAAGTTTCTTTTTCAATCATTAGAAGGTAAGTTTAAAATTAACAGAATCGACTACATAGAACAACCTCGGAAAGGAAGCGAGAGGGCAAACCATACACGAGTGCTGCAACCTTATTTTGCACGAACGAAGGCGTACCGTCATACTTTCTTGCCCGATGTCATTGAAGATTGGCATGGGTTACCGAGTAACATAGTCCATGCGGGTGATGTTAATGAATTTGTGCATTTACCTGATTTACATTTATGTGACTTATTGTAAATATTATTGCGATTGTTATTCGTTGCATTGCAAATAAGGGTGTGTGTTTTTCGTTTTTCGTTAGGAATGCAGAGCTTTCACGGATTTGTATGTATGCATACCTGGTTTATCATAGGGATATATGATGTATAGTTATATCGCCAATTTGTTTGTACAGTGTGTCGTACCTTTTCTGTAATGACCCTCAATAGAGGGTTGACAGTATTTCTAAATAAATAAATAAATAAATAAATAAATAAATAAATAAATAAATAAATAAATAAATAAATAAATAAATAAATAAATAAATAAATAAATAAATAAATAAATAAAACTAATACGTGAAATAGTGAGCACGTGTGTCATCGATTCAATTTAGCCCGGAGCGAGTCCTTCAAATACGTTATCCCTGCTTCACATGTAGACATAAATCGCTGTCTGCTGTCAGTGTCGACTCAGCTACTCGCCATCTTTAGAGTATTTCTTCAAATTATCAAGGAGCATGCTTTTGAGGGTGTCGATCTTTTGCTTTTGCTGCTCGTTGCGTCGAAAGAGATCGTCGCGATGTGCTGCTACTCGAAGAGCGAGGTTTTCGTAATTTCGGGAAACCTTGCTAGTGTCTTCAGCAATCTTCTCGGCCAGACGACGCACTCGTCCACCGAGGCCTGCGTAGAAAAATGGAGGCGTTTGCGACTGTCACGTGACCCTTCGATCGTCCAACTTATTTAACATAGTAACAATGAACAACATGGAGCGAGTGGGAACAGATATATAGATACTAGTTATTCACATTGTATTTGTGATCCCGCTCAGTATAAATGTTCTTTGGTAATTCTTTAATGTATGGGCTGAGTCGAGGTGTTCAGGCCCCATGCTCAGCTCTAGGTATCAGACTTATTGTAAACTTACACCCCCCTCCCCCCCCCCCCCCCAACCCTCACCTGCAAATATCACATCCACACACGCACTCAATCTAGTGGTTATGGTGTTACATGTGGACCCGCAGGTCGCGGGATCGAATCCCGGCCGTGCGGCCCCATTTTCAGTGAAGAGCGAAAATGTTTGAAGTCCGCATACTTGCACCCGAACCGATCCCTCACTTGCCACCCCCTTCAATGCAGCACAAGCCCGTTTCAAACGCGTTGCTTTGAGGCGGTGCAAAGATCAAGTCAAGGAGCGTTTCCGAATTCGGGGGTTACCTTTTTCACTTTATTTCTATTTTGTGTTGCTCTCTTGTAAACACAGATGCAATACAGTGATGTTTCCTGCTGCTGCCTAATGTGAAAGGTGTGATACCTACAGCGTTCTTCGCTTTTACTCTCACACCTTCCACCAAGTTCAATTGTATTGATGAGAAATAAGTAAATGTTAATAATATTGTTATTGTTATTATTATTATTATTAACGCAACAGACACATGCATACGTGCACACTTTATAGGGTGACTTACGTTCACTCGTGAACTGCGTAAAGCCATCGTTAGCGGGAGAATCTGCAGGTTCTTCGGGCTCGTCTTCAGGAAACACTTAAAAAAGAGAGAGAGGAAAGAGAGATACGGTATTACGGTGGGCCACTTAGAAATGGATGTGAGGAAGGCCTCAAGGTGTTTTCTGTAAGAGACTACTGCTGAGTAACACAATACGTACATTAAAGCGAGCATTTTCTATCCGTGTAGCCCCCCTCGACTGCACGGTGGTCGCCTGGTCAGTGAAGCCATGGGCTGTGTTTGCTTGTATTGCTACCGCACATGCACCAGATCACGGTGCCGATAATCCAGGTGGTCGCGATCACACGATAACCTCGCGTGTACACGTGTAATGTTTCGAAAACAATGCGTGGGCTGGGTACTCAATGTCTGCATGTTCCCTATAGGCTGCCTAATAATGGGAATTCAGGTTAGAGATAGCAAGCTGTCATTGAAAATTTTCATTACGATAAAGCACAATTTCGAATAAAAGTAAATACATAAATTCCTTTGCTAAGTGTTTTACTGCTGCAGGTACTCAGAAGTCGATGGGTATCCGTTTTTTAATCAGTCAAAATCGCGTGGTTAGAATGTTTTTATTTTTTTAGGTAACTTACGCTCATCTTGTCTCTCGAACGAAAATCCAACTGCGCCGTGACTTTCCGGCTCTTCTTGAAATCCATTTTCACCTGCAAAAGTTGAACACATGTGAACCAATGCGCAACTTTGCCTATGATCCCTGTTCTATAGCTGCCTAATAATGTGAATTCAAGCTCATGACGGCGAACTGTCATGTTGCGTTTTCATTATTATAAAGCACAATTTGGAATAATTAAGTAAATAATAAAAAAACAAAGGCACTATAGCTGAGCGTTATGTACTAAGAAGTTGATGGGCACCCATTTCTTAATCAGAGATAAAATCATGCGTTTAAAACGTTTTAATTTCTCGGGATAACTTAGGTTCATCAGGTCTTTCGAATGCAAACCCGATTGTGCCATAATTTTCCAGTTCTTCAGGAGGCACATGTTCACCTGTGAACGCCGAAAAAATGTGAACAATTAATTTAAAAGTATGCATAACATTGCAATGACACTGTGAATGTCCGAAACAACATAAGCTATGGGGCATATTGACGCATCCAAACACAGGTTGACTACTTTTGCATGGAATACGTTGAACTGCTTTTGTGTGGTTCTTAATTACCGGATTAGGTGGGTTTAATTAAGTAACTTTCGAAGCAGTGAAGCTCTGCAAGAAAAAAAAAAGAAGAATCCAGTGAGGAAGCTGTAGATTAGTTTGAGGAACGTCCGATTAGACAGTTTATTTAAGTTTTCGTGAGTCTGAGTGAGTCCGGCTTACCTAATACCTTAAAGAGCACCAGCGCTTCATATCAGCTTACCACTTCTGGTTTTGCTATCTATGTTGCCGTAGGCATCGTTACGTATGCCTGTGTCTACAGTTGTACATATAGTTAGCGCCACTTCATGCCGTTTCGCTCAATGAACAAAAAAATACAACACAGTCACCTTCCATACGCATGATTTTTATAACATCAATTTCCAAGGTACGTTGGATTCGCCCGTTTTGTTTTTTTTTTCCCATAAGGGAGGCTGATTGAGCTCCACAAATTTTTCCGACCCATGCTCATGAAAATTTGGAAATTGCATCATTATGTGAGCCTAGTATTATGCTGCAATGCAATGCACTCACGTAATAGCCTCATTCATCTTACTTAAAATGCCAGAGCACCGTTCATACGTTGGGTCACTTACGTTCGCCCGCCAACGCATAGCCGCTGGCCTGCATATTTTCGGGTGTTTCTGGTTCTGCAGCTGAAAAAGTAAGGCAAAATAGTAAGAACACTCGCTCATAAATACTTAACTACGCGGTAACTTACGTTCGGGGTTGTAGGTTTCGGCTGACATGGACGGCGTTTGTTGCAGCGCGTGTATTTCTGCCTGCACCGTCTGCATGGAGAGAGTTACTTTGGTGAGACCTCAAAAATGGATGCATGTGACTTTTTAAGGTCGCATGAACCTTACCTTCTTGTTGTCAACCTCCTCGACTGCCTCGACGCTTTCATTGCAGTCAGCTTGGGAGGACGATTCCATGTTAATTTTGTGATAAAACTTGCGAAAAGCTCTTCGCCGAAACTGCTGATACCTCGACTGACGCAGGTATGGAGAACGTCCTTCCGCGCACAGACGCTGGTGACTTTTGGAACGAAAAGTACTCAGCTCTTCGCTTTTTCGCCCTTTTTCTTTTAAAAATTTGAAATAGTTCGCCCCGCTTCACAAAAATACAAATTTCGCGGCCATCAGCGCCTGCGGACCCGAGCGAAGGTTTCTCGGAAGCGACACGGTTAGCGTCGTTCATGGCATGGCCTTTGAGATACGGGCGACACAGCCATCACGGAGGCTTACTTGTGCATACAGACTGTATGTACCGTCGCTTTCGCGAGGTGGCGCCACGCGCGCTGCTTCTGCGCTGTTTGCGAGCTCACTCGGTCACTGCGCCGCTGGCGGAACTTTCGCTTTTTGTCCTGCCCTTCTCCGAAGTACACAGTTCGAGCGAAAATCCTCGGCTACGATAAAAGCTTTGCCCAGCCGTAGTCCCTGCCCGCGCACTACTGTGCACCGTTGCCTGTGTGGCGCACCCGGGTCCACAACAACATTCTGTTAGGATCGAGGACCCACCCAACGGCATCGCGCGTTACCAGCGTGTGCGCTACGCTGGCTGGCTGCACTGCACCGCGCTCAACCCAATGATTCGCTGTACTTTGTTGGCGCCGACAGTGCTCGTCAGAACCGGAAAGTTGTCCTGCACGGATGCGCCGAGGTTGTAGAGGATTAAAGGCCCCGTCGCTTCGTTTCGTATCGGGCCGGATTCATCGCCGTCTTTCCGTGGTCGCCTTCTGCGAACGGACTGAAGGGGATCTACTAAGGATCGCGGCCGCGGGAAAAAAAATGTAACGGCGTGCCGAGTTGGGTCCCGCCGGCACCAGCCGCGAATTTGTGCCGGTGCTATCGTTAAAACTGACGGCAGATGGGCACCAGAGGGTTAACAACATCTCACGCCTCTTTCAAGCTACGTCTTCACACTTTGTTCTAGCGGCATTTCACGGTTTCGCATGTGCTAACCAGCATTGACTAGACAGGGTGTGATAATGGGCATGCATACTCATTGAACACGTTCGTAGGTAATAATTGATAAGTATAATCAAAAGATGGAGGGGAGGGGGGCATGCAAGGCGCTTTTCGTTTTGTTATTTGTGCACGTATGAAGTCCGTTCTTTTTCGTGCGTTCATTGTTTTGGGAGTGTGTTAGCGCGATTTCGTCGAAGGTGGCTGATTTCGCGCTATTTTTATCTGTTTGTAGCATTACTTCAGCTTTTGGCGTATGCGTTCGGACAGACAAAAATTGCACTAAAGCTACATGGCCCGCTTTTGTAACGTAACCTCGAGCGTAACGTCGTGGCAGCTGACGCCGCCACCCGAGAGCGCCTGGACCAGCTTCTTAGCATCAAGGAGCTGCAGTGCATTCCTTTCATCGCAAAGGAGCCTGCCGCCCATAAGACAAGCACCGGGTACATTCACGGCGTTGATGATGAACAGGCAGCGGACAGCCTGCTGCGCGGCATCAAGTCTGCAGTACCGGTACTGGTTTCCACCAGGGAGGGGCGCACAGTGACGCTCCGCTTTGCTGGACCGGCTCCTCCGACACACGGGACCCTCTTTTCAGTGAGGTTCTCGGTGCGGCCGTCCAGACCACGCCCCATGCAGTGCCAGCAGTGGGGCCGGTTCGGCCACGTCAAGGAAAGCTTCAGCTGGCCTGGAAGTTGCATCCGCTGCAGTCGGGCCCACCCAGAGGTACAGGACTTCCCGCAGTCGAGACCACGACGTGTTAACATCGGTGGCCCGCATCCTGCTGACACGGCGCAGTATCCTCGGTGGCAGGAGCAGCGGAAAGTGGACACCATTTTGGCGTCATCCACCACCAACCTGTCTAGGAAGGTCTTCGCCGCAGCCGTGAGGGAGGAGGCCAAGAAGGCTCGCTCTTATGCGAGCGCTGTCAAGGGGCTTCCTCCTCCTGGCCGCCCTATTCCTACACCCCGCACTCACCGCGGGTCACCGCAAGTGACAACACCGGACAAGCCCACTCCATGGAAATCGAAATAGAAATAAATCAAACTTTGTGAGGAGGTTTATGAGTCGTTAAAGACAGCGACGAGACAGCGTGAACAACCGTCCAGCGATCGGCACAGCAACGAACCGAAGCACGAGCCGAGAGAGCCGGGCGTTGGCGATGCTGCTCGCTGCAGGCACATCTTCTTCTTCACAATCGCCCCCGCTGAAAAAGGAGCCATCCTGGCGACTTAAGAAGTTTCAGGCAGAGGCTCATGGTACGGTTTCAGTCGGGAAACATGGACGATGTCACGTGAACGCTGGCGCATGTCGTCCGATCGGGAAACTGGTTCAATTAGAAAATTAACCGGAGATGTTTTCTCCAAAACGGTGTAAGGCCCCTCGTACCGGGGGACAAGTTTCGAGGAGAGTCCCGGTGTTTGGTGTGGGATGGCAAGCCACACAAGAGACCCTGGGGCATAGCTGAGATCCGGAAGAGAGGTGCTACGGGTTTCTTTCTGGCGTTGTTGCTCTTCCGAGGTGAACGCCCGGGCGAGCTGGCGGCACTCTTCGGCTTGTCTAGCAGCATCGGAGATAGGTGGACACTCGGAAGCATCAGGACGGTAAGGAAGTAGGGTATCAATTGTATGGGAAGGCTCGCGTCCGTAAAGAAGAAAGGGGAAAATCCCGTGGTGGTTTGTATTGCGGTGTTATACGCGAACGTGACGTATGGGAGAACATGGTCCCAGTTGCTATGATCAGATGCCACGTACATTGAGAGCATATCACCTAGCGTGCGGTTGAACCGTTCCGTTAGTCCGTTAGTCTGCGGGTGGTATGCTGTTGTTTTCCGATGAATGACGTGGCATTCCGAAAGCAGAGTTTCGACGACCTCGGAAAGGAAAGCGCGGCCTCTGTCACTAAGGAGCTCTCGAGGTGCACCATGTCGAAGGATAAAGCGTTGAAAAATGAAAGAGGCGACATCCTGAGCTGTAGCGCTCGGCAAAGCGGCTGTTTCGGCGTAGCGTGTCAGGTGGTCAACCGCCACTATAATCCACCGATTACCATCTGGTGTCAATGGTAGGGGACCGTAGAGGTCAACGCCGACGCGATCAAATGGCTTGGCAGGGCATGGAAGTGGCTGCAATGCACCAGTCGCACGTGGCAGTGTTGATTTGCGTCGCTGGCAGTCAGGACAGCACTGCACGAATTTACGTACAAAATTGTACATGCCGCGCCAGTAGTAGCGATGGCGAAGGCGTTCATATGTTTTGAACACTCCGGCGTGGCCACATTGCGGATCGTCGTGAAGGGAGGCACATACTTGCGATCGTAAAGTGCGTGGAATGACCAGCAACCACCGGCGGCCATCGGGAGCGTAGTTGCGTCGATGAAGAAGTTGATCGCGGATGGCGAAATGGAAAGCTTGACGTCGGAGGGATCGAGATACTGGAAGGTTGGGCGTGCCAGATAAATATTCGATAAGAGAGGCGATCCACGGGTCGCGACGTTGTTCGGTGGCAATCGAGTCGAGATTTAGTGATGACAAGGTCTGGAGGCAAGTGTTTCCGCACGTCTGATCTGGTGGTAAAGGTGAGCGAGACAGAGCATCAGCGTCAGAGTGTTTGCGTCCGCAGCGGTATACGACGCGAATGTCGTACTCCTGGATGCGGAGTGCCCATCGCGCAAGGCGGCCAGAAGGGTCTTTCAACGTGGAGAGCCAGCAAAGCGCGTGGTGATCAGTTACTAGATCGAACGGGCGGCCGTATAAGTACGGCCGGAACTTTCCAAGCGCCCACACCAGAGCCAAACACTCTTTTTCTGTCACGCTGTAATTAGTTTCGGCTTTCGTCAGAGTGCGGCTAGCGTAGGCTACAACGTATTCTGAATAGCCGGGCTTTCGTTGAGCGAGGACCGCGCCTAGCCCGACGCCGCTGGCGTCGGTGTGCACTTCGGTAGGAGCCGTCGGGTCGAAGTGGCGAAGAATAGGTGGGGAAGTGAGCAGACGGCGCAGAGTAGTGAAGGCAACGTCACATGCAGGGGACCAGGAGGTGAGGTTCACGTCACCGCGAAGAAGCTGGGTTAACGGTGACATGATAGATGCAAAATTGCGAAGAAAGCGCCGGAAATAAGAGCATAGGCCTACAAAACTGCGAAGTTCTTTCATGGTCGTCGGCTTGGGAAATTCTGCGACTGCTCGAAGTTTTGCTGGGTCTGGTAATACGCCGTGCTTGGACACGATGTGGCCTAGGATGACGAGCTCGCGTGCAGCGAAGCGGCATTTTTTCAGGTTAAGCTGGAGACCAGCGTTGGTCAGGCAACTCAAAACGTGCCTGAGGCGAAGGAGGTGCGTAGGAAAGTCATGGGAGAAAACCACGACATCGTCGAGGTAACAGAGGCACATATTCCATTTGAGGCCACGTAGCGTATTATCCATAAGACGTTCAAACGTGGCAGGCGCGTTACAAAGCCCAGAGGGCATGACGTTAAATTCATATAGTCCGTCTGGTGTAATAAATGCCGTTTTTTGGCGATCGGCTTCTGCCATTGGGACCTGCCAGTAGCCAGACCGCAAATCTAGCGACGAGAAAAATTCCGCTCCGTGAAGGGTGTCAATGGCGTCATCAATGCGCGGCAAAGGATAGACGTCCTTGCGGGTTATCTTATTCAAACGACGATAGTCCACGCAAAATCGAATAGATCCGTCTTTCTTACGCACCAGGACGACGGGAGACGCCCAGGGACTGTGAGATGGTCGAATGACGTCTCTACGAAGCATATGTTCGACTTGATCGTTGATGACGCGGCGCTCTTCAGCGGAGACACGGTATGGTCTTTGACGCAGTGGCTGGTGTAGGCCGGTGTCAACATGATGTTTGACTTGTGATGTGCGGCCCAGTTGAGGTTGCGACACATCGAACGAACTCCTGAACTCATGCAGAAGATCCAGCAGGTCGGCATGTTCGGTGGGAGTGAGAGTGTCGGCGATGGCGCTGGAAAACGTATCATTGGATGACTCCCCGAGTGCCGACAGTGCTTTCGGGTGGTCGCAGTAGTCGTCCGGGACATCA